CATTTAAGAGCAATTTAAGGTTCTACATATTTATAATCAGGCTTAATTATGAGGTCAGGATGCTGTGATGAAAAGGAAATGGAATAACAGGGTTAAACCATCGTTGTTCCCTGAATAACTATTAACACCTTTCTTTTTCTGACTTAGGATTTAATATCTTCAAGCTGCACAGCAGAACCATTTCCCACAGAAATAAATTACATACCAACTCTACATTGTGGGCAGTTAAAGGAATCACTTATCAACTTCAGCTTCTCATCTGCAGCCAAGAATGTCTGTATTAGTCCTGATTAATCTGTGCTGGTATTAACCAAAAGACCAACTAAGCCAGGATTAAAGCAGGTCAAAGCATTAAGCATATTTTTCTTTAAATGTCACAGACTGTTATAACATTCTCTTTTTAAAAAGGCTCCCTTTAAAGTACACAGAGGTATTTGAAGGAACTGCATTTCTTCCTCATGATTACAGGTAGTCCTCAATTTATGACCACAACTGAGCCCAAAAATTATGTTGCCAAGTGAGGAATTTGTTAAGTGAGTTTTGCCCCATTTTACGACCTTTCTTGCTACAGTTGTTAGGTGAATCACTGCAGATGTTAAGTTAGTAACAGAGTTGTTAAGTGAATCTGGTTTCCCCATTGACATCGCTGATCAGAAGGTTGCAAAAGGGGATTGCATGACCCCAGGACACTACAACCGTCATAAATACAAGTCAGTTGTCAAGCATCCGAATGTAAATCACGATTGTGGGGATGCTGCAGTAGTTGTATGTGTGAAAAACTGTCATAAATCACTTTTTTCAGTGCTGTGTAACTTTGAACGGTCACTAAGCAAACTGTTGTAAGTCGAGGACTACCTGTATTATTCCAAAGGTAAATATTTGCATAATGTCATCCATTTTTAAAAAATTTGAAGGCAATCACTTGCAATTAGCAAGGTTATTTTTGCCCACCATCCATATAGCTTTTGCCCACGAACTCTTATTCTACAGTAGTCCTCCCAGGAACGAGCATTGAAATTTAACTCCAGTGTTTATTTCTTTAGCCTTCTGTGGACTTCTCTCATCTTCCTCTCATCACGCACTCCTTAAGTGACACAGAAAGAGTTGCTGCGGAAGAGCCTAAAATTGCTATCCAGCAATGACAACAATCAAAAGAGCCCTTGCTGAGCAGAAGATTTCTCTTGACCCTGAACATTACTGAGTTGGAGTAGCAAGCTGCTGGTCTCCAATCAGACTTAATCTGTGAAACTCTTTATGGGGGGGCAGGCAAATGTTTCGAAAGAGAAGCTTGGAAAAGCATTGAAAAAAATGTCAGAATTCTTTTGGAACTATTAATGCTGCCCTGTCTTTTTTTTTCTATACATGGGGTGGAAATTGGGAACTACTTCCCAAAGCATCCCATGTGACCCCAGCAAAAAAAATGATGCAGCTAAGGGAATGGTTTGGAAAGAACAGGTGTGTCCACATTGCTGCATATTCCAAAACATCTGGAATTTTCACTGCCCTACTCTATACTCAACAGCTGTCTTTAGCTCTTCTATAGCTAGAAGAGATATCTACCGTATTCTATCTCTTTCTGTATCTCACTTGCTCCTCAGCCTTGTGTTGTCCCTCTTAGAAGTAGTCTTCAATTTACAACCACAATTGAGCCCAAAATTTCTGTTGCTAAGTGAGATGGTTAAATGAATGTTGCCCCATTTTACGACCATTCTTGCCACAGTTGTTAAGTGAATCACTGCAATTTTTAAGTTAGTAGCACGATTGTTAAGTGCATTTGGCTTCCCCATTGATTTTGCTTGTCAGAAATTTGCAAAAGATGATCACATGACCACGGGACAGTGGGACACTGCAACCATCCTAAATATGAGCTAGTTACCAAGTGTCTGAATTTTGATCATGTGACCATGGGGATGCTGCAGGGGTGAAATCCAGCAGGTTCTGACAGGTTCTGGAGAACCGATAGCGGAAATTTTGAGTAGTTCAGAGAACCGATAGCGGAAATTTTGAGTAGTTCGGAGAACCAACAAATACTACCTCTGGCTGGCCCCAGAGTGGGGTGGGAATGGAGATTTTGCAATATCCTTCCCCTGGAGTGGGGTGGGAATGGAGATTTTGCAGTGTCCTTCCCTTGCCACGCCCACCAAGCCACACCACGCCCACCAAGCCATGCCCACAGAACCAGTAGTAAAAAAATTTGGATTTCACCACTGGGATGCTGCAATGGTTGTAAGTGGGAAAACAGTCATAAGTCACTTTTTAGTGCCATTGTAACTTTGAATGGTCACTGAATGAACCGTTGTAAATCAAGGACTACCTGCACCATGTCCTGCCTTGATGTCCTGTGGCAAATTCCAATGCCAGCTTTATTTTTAAAATTGCAACTTAATCCTCAGTTCCTCTTTTTTTTCTTTTTCAATTGTTCTTTCTCCCAGCTGTGCTCTATTATCCAGCATTTTGGCCTTATAAGCAGAATTATAAGACCATTAATACATGTAGACACTTTACAACAACCGATCAGTGTTTTAGGTAAGGTATTGATTTCTTGGTTTATATTTTACTGTTCTTGGAATTCATCAATAATTATATGAAGTAGGAGCATACAATGGTCAGAAAAATCAACTTCTAAATTTGAATAAGAATTATATTGCCTAGAGTCTCAGTTGGAGAACTATTTAAAGTTGCATATGCCAATTTTTGTTTTATTTGTAATTTTATTTATTTATTGTTTTATTTGTAACTTTATTTATTTCTCCGTACTACAAGTAAATTAACCAAACTTGTAATGTTCCTAATGAACTTATATAACTGCACAGGAGAATACATTACATGGATAGCTTGCCTATATCAATAGAGGGGATTTTTAAATTTTTTGGTTTCCTTTTTTTCTTTTTTTTTCTTCAAGAATTTGAAACTGAGACCTTCGCACTCTGGTCCAACATTTTAATCACTAAAATAGTATTTTCAACAATGTACAAATATTCCCAAAAATGAATATTTGTAGCAAACATCTATGCGGCTGATTTTTACTGATCTCAATAGCACTTTATTGATTAATCATAAGGCCATATCAAAATGCGAAAGATAAATAAAATCATTCATAAGAGTATAACTAAAACAAAATCATGTATCCTCATCACACTTACAATTTACTCCATCAAATCTGTATGTGTGGACCTCAATTTCACTGTTTTATTTTTTTAAAAGGCCATTTTATATGTGAAAATTCAGCTCTGACCACATATAAAATATATTGTTCAGAGATGTGGGTCCTGATGAACCATTCATCTTATATACTGTCCAAGATAATGATCTCTTTCTGTGGTATACAACTGACACTGAAATAATATATGTTCTATATCCTCAATCTCTGGTGCACCACTGATACATGTGCATTCATGATAAGCAACTCAATTATATCTTCTATATTTTACTGTGCCTAGTTGTTCAAATCTGGCATGGGGAGATATCCTCCTAAGATACTTAGACATGTTGATAAGTAAATATTTTTCAATTTGAAAATTACATTTGAGAGACTCATCCATCTCTGTATACCGGCCTTACTGAGACTAGCTGTGTCTCTATGAGCTTCTATGTTACAGATTCTTTGAGCAACTGTTTTCTTAACAGGTTATCTAGGCAGAAAGGCAACAGCTTCTACTGTAATTTTTTTTCTTGATAATTTTATTGAAAGTTTTAATAACAGTAGTAAAAGAAGAAAAGAGACTAAACTCTTAAAGAAGAGAAAGTAAGAAAAAAGAAAATAAAAGGGATACAAAAGAAAAAAAATATTTAAAGAACCTTCCACTTTTCATCACAACTACAAACTTAATAATTTTTTTCAATCCCTATAACTTTACATGCAAGTATCTCTTCTTCCCATAACCCATCCTTTATCTATATGTAAATCCATGAATCACTAACATTTCAGTCCCAGAGAAGTTCCCTGAAGATGGGCTCTAGCACAAGTCCGAAAATTCGGAAGGCAAAACCTCTGGTCCCAGTGACCGACCCAGATTGGATCCCCCAATAAAAAGTCTTTATCCAGGTCAACTTTTAGATTTGTCTATTGTATTTCTGATTTACTTGTTTTCTTTGTCTTACAGTCCTTTTTGTATTTTCCAGTAATTGTGCAAAATCTACATTCTGATATTTCCGCATCAGACAAAATCAGGAATTGTTGATTCTCTGGGTGAAGAAAATGGCAAGCTAAGACATCTCTGAGTGAGTGGAGATGACAGACATGGCTAAGACTGAAGGAGTAGAGAGTAGACTGGGCCCATAGGACCTCTCTGGATAAGGAGAGGAAGGGAAATTGCCCACTAGTGCTCCAGATAACTGGTCCTTGTGAGGAGACCTCAGGATAGTGACAAGGAGACAAACCAAACTATCATGGTCTCAGCTGTGGAAGAACCTTTTAAAAGACACTGAGTTTGCTAACTCACTTTTTAATCACTTACAGCAATTCCTTAGTCAATTATCTTAAGGATATTAAAGACCTTCAAAATGACAAATTTGAGTTTATCTTTGTTTTTGAATTTTTTAAAAAAATATTTGGGATTCTGCTGGAGTTTGTTCTTTTACCTTTCCCATTTTTTCACATTTCTCTGCATCATTTGAAAGTGAAATTCTAATTAGTAGGAAACGTAAGACTTCTTAAGATGTCTTACAAGTTTGAATTAGCTTCTGTGTAGCTTGAGTTTTGGCCAAAGAAAACAAAGAAGTCTTTCCCCACACACACACACACACACACACACCTCAGGTCAACTGAAGAACTTTGACCTCCCCAGTTAAACAATTTTGGATACAACACCCAGATGAGGATTATCCTAGGAAAGCAACGTATCAGTCATAATAAGCAATGAGAACATATGTATACATGTGTTCTTGTGAAGTCAAAATATGCTCTCAACGTATTCACAATTTAATGTAAATACAGACATAGAGCGAAAGAAATAAAACCAAGCTAAATATGTATGAACAGAATAAGTGCATACCAATAGTGTCATTGAAAACATTTAATCACTATGCAACATTTAGGACAGTAGCATAGAAAAATAACAAAATCTTGCTTGGAGCCTTCATTTGCTCATATAAAAGCATTTAAGGATTTGAAAATCTGGAGCCTGATGTCCTTTCTCTAAAAAGGAAAATGATAAGTACATTTTCAGAAGTTAACTGATAAAGCAATATATAGTTACAAGAGGTAACAAACCCAGGAATTGTTAAAAAAGAAAAGAAAAACTAATTGCTACACAAGATTAGCTATCCTAGTAAAAATCCAAAGAAACTTACTTACGATCAGACAAGAAGTAAAAATAATAGGAACAAAACAATGTACAAATCACCAAATACTTTCACCAAAGCAGGTTTGGGGGAGTCAGATAATGACAACTTGGCATATTTTAAAGTGAAATTAAATAATGTATGTTAGCAGTGAATCATAGTAGATTAGTTGGTACATGTTGGAATATTTATGTATGTATATATGTTTGTGAGTGAATTAATCAAATTTCCATAGTGCCCGAGTCTCACAACCCTAACAATATGTATGCGTCTCCATCATTGCCAAGAATATCTTTGTCAGAGTTTAACTTAATATTTTAAGGAAAGAATATTAAGATTCTAAGACCTCTGTACATATTCTCAAGCTGCAAGGAATCATGATAACTAATATACACCATGTTTGTATATGTTGTTAGCCACTCAAGAATCACTATAGCCAGATAGGTAGCCATGGTGGCACAGTGGTTAGAATGCAGTATTGCAGACTAATTCTGCCAAATGCCAGCAGTTCAATCCTGACAGGCTCAGCCTTCCAAACGTCCCAGGTCAGTAGGATGAGGACTCAGGGGGGCACTATGCTGACTCTGTAAACCACTTAGAGAGGACTGTAAAGCACTATGAAGCAGTATATAAGTCTAAGTGCTATTGCTATTGCCATGCACATTCAAATCAAATCAATATATAGAGCAGGAGAGGCAAGGAATGTCAAAAATTGATTAAGAGGCAGAGGGAGGGCTTTCAGGGTGCTAACCAGCCCCATGGCTGCATGGCCCTCTATGGGCCCCACACTGTATAAAGCTGCAGAGCCATGCTTTCACAGCTTTCCAGAAGGCCAGGAGATCAGGGCGTGCCTCACCTCCAAGGGGAGAGCTTTCTAGAGAGAGGGGGGCCACGGCAGAGAAGTTCCCCTTCCTGGACCCTGTCAGTTGGATTCTTTGGCTACAATATTCCCTGCCTGACCAGATGGGACTGGCTGATACAATGGGATGAAGAGGGTTCCATAGATAACCTGGCCCCATGCCATATAGGGCTTTAAAGCTCACAACCATCACCTTGAATTGGACATGGAAGAAGCCCGGTTTATTTGTTTGGTCTCAACATTCATCCTTTTATTGCCAGCACGAAACATGAAGAATATAACTGAATGTGAGTCAGTAAAAGTCATTCAGAAATTAGAATAAAAACATATATGAAGCAGAAGTATTTTACCCCACCATTTTTGAATGATTGGATGTGAGGAAGATCTGGCTAGGACAGTGATGGCTAACCTTTTCCAGACTGAGTGCTCAAAGCGCGTGCGTGCCTGAACCCCCCAAATGCAATGTACATGCGGCCCCCGTGCATGTGCCCACCCTCACAAATGTGTGCGCACCCCCATATGCTCCATTCCCCCATGCATGCGTGCGCACCCCCCCACATGCGCCCTGCCCCCTCATGCATGCGCAGCAGAGCCTGAAGACCAGCTGGTTGGTGGGAGCCGTGCGTGCATGTGCGGCAGAGCTGATCTGAAGCAGTGGCTCACGTGCTCACAGAGAGGGCACTGCATGCCATCTCTGACACACATGACATAGGTTCGCCACTGGGCTAGGACATCTGTCAGGATGAAGTTAACATGAGACATCAATGGTCCGTTGTTACCTCTTGGCCATCCTCCTTTCCTTCTGGACATTTTTGGAGATTGTGTGTTAATACCACCACAATCCCTTTGAATTAAACTCTCCGGTTAACCAAACAGGCTAACAGGCACCTGATGATCTTCAGGAGGTTGAGTGGCCATGATCTGCAAGCTGCCATGCTGAAGCCAAAAGAGAAGATGCCGGTGGACATACCATGTCAAATCTGCTGGGACATTCAAGTTTTAAATGACATTCAAGGAGACGGAAGGGCTGGCGCGTGAACCACTCCCAATGTGCAGTGGTATTCTGTCTGTTAACTTGCTAATGAAGCATGATTGAGTAAAGTAATGAAGAGTTTACAGAGAGCCCCAGGAAACCAATTTCCAATTTTGCGACCAGCAGGTTTTAAACTTCACTGCAGCATTTGCTAATTTTGTCTAGAAGGAGACTCAGATACTAAATGCCATTTCTGCTTTGTGAGCCAGACAGACTCTTCTAATCCCCATACACTTACTTGCTAATGAATGTCTCCTTCTTCCAATCCATTTTCTCTCCATCCATAGTTGTTACATATAGGTGACTGGCTTTAAAAAAAAAAAAAAAAGATTACTGTGAGAAATGAAATTCTAATCAGTTCAAAAGTCAGAAGTATTGAAAGGTTTCTGCACAGAAGGAGATTTTAATCTTTAGCCAGACCTGACTGAGCTGGTGAGAAAAAATATATAAGGAGAAGATAGCAGGTTTCTCTTTAGCGGGTGGGAGAAACAATCCGTATCAAGCACAGGGATACAAAAGACTGAAGGAAATTGTTTGGCTGCTTATGTATTTACAGGTTGTCCTCGACCTACGACCACAATTTCTGTTGCTAAGCAGACAGTGAGCTTTTAAAGTGAGCTTTGCCCTACTTTATGACCTTTTTTGCCCCAGTTATTAAGTGAATCACTGCAATTGTTAACATTAGTAGCACTTTTCTTAAGAGAATCTGGTTCTCTCATTGACTTTGCTTGTCAGAAGGTCATAAAAGGTGATGACATGACCCCAGGATACTGCAACCGTCATAAATATGAACCAGTTGCCCTAAGCATCTAAATTTGGATCACATGAGCATGGAGATGCTGCAGTAGTCATGTGTGAAAATGGTCATAAGTCACTTTTTTCAGCAACTTTGGTCACAAAATGAATGGTTGTAAGTCAAGGACTACCTGTATAGTAAAAATAACTCTGGGAAGCTTATAACCAATCAAAGTACTGGTAATATATACAATAATGAACAAAAGAACAACAAACGTGTGAAAAGTGGTTATAAATCACTTTTTTAACAGCCGCTGTAACATCAAAAGGTCACTAAACAAATGGTTGTAAGTTGAGGACTATCTGTACTGTATGTTAGGGACTTATAGGCTGCTCCAATCAACCAGCTCTGAGTAGCATAAAGCGTATTTCCCTAATTTCCAATTTGCTTTATATATATATTAGTCAAAAAATTATTCCAAAGAACCTACTGTCCCTCAGTGTTCAATTTAAAGTTATTTGAGTGTTTGTGTGTGTTTGTGTGCATAATTATTTCCCATAATTACACACATGCACGTGCACACATGCAGGCCTTCCAGTTTGGGCACTCTGTGTCTAAAAGGTTCGCCATTACTGGGCTAAACAATCAGTAGTAACTGTATAACTACAGTAACTACTGATTATATACCTATTTTTCTGCACCACATAGTCAGCTACCCCCATGTACTGTATATCTTTGGTATGGAACTTCCTCAACTTTCTTTATATATACTGTAGTTAAACACAATTTAATCAGCAAACATTTTAATACAACATTCCCAGATAGATAGATAGATTTTTGCATGAACATTGTTACAAAATATTTGTAAGTTAATTATAAGGTGACCAACTTTTTTACAATGAGGAGGAGGACACGTGCGTGTGTGCCATGTCGTGTTTCGGTAAGAAGTAAACAAAGCCACTTGCGCGCAGTACACTCTTGCATGCGGTGCACTCTCTCAAAACAATTCTCCTGTGCAGAGCGCATGCGTCTCATAATCACGTCTTGCCCCACTGTACCGAGCCTTGACGAATCATCATGTCAAATACAAATACGTCACATCACACGCAACGGATCAGATCGGCATCGATTGAATACGGAGATTTACAGATTAGTCTTCAAATATTGAAAAGGAGGACATGTAGGAGGACATTTTTTGAGAGAGGACAGAACTTACAAAAGAAGGACGGTCCTCCCTAAAGGAGGACGATTGGTCACCTTATTAATTAGAACAGAAGGCAATAATGAATCCTTCACTCTGTCTGAACTACGGTAGAATCTGCTTTGCCGAATCATGCCATTTGGAAATAAAAGAAAACCACCACAATTTTTTAAAAAAACTCCCTTACCATAATTCTTCTTAATCCAGGAATGACTAATGGCACTCTTTTTAGTTTAGTAAGATAAAAGAGTTCCAGTCCTTGGAAGAAAACACTGAAATACAGCAATTTCACCTAACAATGCATTATTCATTTTAACATTGGTCCAGAAAGGTTGCTTGTAAATGTTGTTTCTCAAATCACTAGCAAAATAGGAGTTCCTACCCAAGCTAATAAGATGAAATTGAGGATTGTTTATAAACTCAAAGTGAAGTTGAACAGGGATCTAGTATTTTGACCATGGGCTAGTATATATGGCAGGATTGCATAAAAGCGATAACCATTTTTCCTTGTCTAATTTACTAGCCACTAAATAGAGCTGAGATAATAAAGCATTGAAATAGCAGCTATATTCAAAGTAACAAGTACTATTAAGGTTTTAAGCCTCATTGCCTTAAATATTCAATACCTATTCAAAAGCGCTATAAAAGCTTAATCTGAGGGAAACCTGACATTGGTTCTGACAATATTCAGCAGTGGCTTCAAGATACAAGGAGTCATAGGAATATCCTATTGGTCATTGGGAAGAGTCATATGGAAACACATATAAACCCACACAAGATTGTGAATAAAACTCAATGAAAAGTTAGAATATAATGGGAGGAAAATTTTGTTTGTTATCTATTTTATTTTATTTTTGTTTTATATTCTTATATAATTTTATTTTGTAGGGAAGACCTCTTTTGCACATGTCTTTCTCAATATGGCCTTAGAATATACGTACATTTGATCTTAGCCAAAAGCCAAGTAGTGAGAACATTAGAACAGAATTAGAACAGAACAGCTATGCTGGCTGGAGAATTCTGGGAGTTGAAGTCCACAAGTCTTAAAGCTGCCAAGTTTGAAGACCTCTGCATTAGAATGTATTCTTAGAGGAGACTTGGTGTATAACTCTTAACCCAGAGCTGTTTCTGACTTGCAGAATCTTCCATACGATTCATTATAAGGGATCCTAGGATCATTTTTTTACAAGAATAATTTTTTAAAATCTACTAATGAAAGCCATGTGCAAATCCATATATTTAAAATTTTGAAATCTCTCTTTCTATATTCCTTTTCAGCAATATCCTTTGGCTGAGTTGTTGTTGGTTCACGACATTGTCAGAGAGATGTTTAGGCTGGATTTGGCATGTTTATATTATTACTATTATTATTAGTGCCATTATAAAGCATTTGTGAACCATAAGAAATCAAGCTAAACTATTGAAAATCATTCAGCATTTTACACGTTCATCCTTAGCTGCCTTGTTCTAGAGCCTGCCACACTTCATCTAGTTTCCATCTCCCATTAAAAAAAAAAAAACAAAGACAGAATTTGAAAGACTATGGCACCACAGTTGCAGAAACATTTGGAACTGAATATCTGCAGTGAGAAACTCAAGCTGACCTTCCAATGATCTTCGGCGCAGAGATCACATTTGTCAGAATGATGGATGTTCAGTGGCTTACAGATCTAGGGCAGCTGGCTGGTTTACTCACTTTGGACCTGTACAGATGACACAATTCACTTTGGAATGCTGCTTAACATTCAACTGCCACATTGGGCATGTTGGGATATAACAGTCAAATATATAAGAACAAAAATTGTGGGGTTTTTGTAATTTTTCTCCAAGATGGTGCCTGGGGGGGGGATTCAGTGTTAATTGTCTGTGGTATTGTGGGAACAGCAGATTTGAGAATATTGGCGCTGATGGCATACTTGTGAGGGTGTCAGCATGGATTTGAACTCTGTACAGAGCACTTGGCTGTGGCACTTCCAAGTAGATGCTGGAGTTGAGAGACCTGCTGTGCGGTGGTATCAGGAGATGGATGCCATTCTCCTGGCTGCATGGAGATAGATTTTGGGGTGGATTGTATAGAAAGGCATTAATCATGACTGGCACGTGATTGCCAGCTGGAGGGTCTCCAGAACCAGAAATATAGTAGCAAGACTTTGGCATCCAAGGCATGCTGGACCCCTAAAAAAGAACATTTGAAGATATAGCAGTGAAAAACAGGAGTAGCAGGCTAAGCTGAAGTTGTGTAGAAGTGGCAGAACCTGGGGGCAGAGTTTAAAGAGGAGCCAGCCTAGAATCCCTACATAGATACAAAGGGGGCTAAATCCAACCAGTCTTAAATTCCATTGATACTTATCTAACTGCTAGCAACTGTCAGTTGAGAATATTCCTGTACATAGGCATGAGTCACAATAAATCAGTTTAATTGGACCTTCATGTGTGGAACTGATCTTTCATGCCTGACAGGTTGTTATTGGTCTGACTCTCTGCTCCGCCCAAAGATAGATCTGTCTTCCCCCAGGTTCTCTTTCACCCAAGATCAGTTTGTCATCAGATGAGATTGTCTGATGGACTATTTGCCAGATTGTTAGGTTGGACATGGGCTGGACTGGGGACTGTGAGGTACAAGTGGAAAGGTCCAAACAGCTGACCCAATTGTTTGGGGCTATCAGGGCAAAGTAGAGTGTGTTGGGATGTAGGATGTGTGACTGAGTAACCCACAGTTAGCCAGGCATGGCTAAGGGTAGTGAGAGGTTGAAAGTAGAAGCAGCTAGGGGGTGTTGTAGTCTGATACTGGAGATGGGTAAGTAACTGTATAGTTGAGTGTGAGGATGGGGGGGATGGTAAAAAAATTGTAATGGCTTTTTGTGAGACTGTATCCATAGACAGTTAAGTATAAGATCCTTTGTTTGAATTCGGTTCTAGGGTGCAGTTGGGTTTGCTGCTACTACACCAACCTCCCTTGACTACATGGAGTTGATGGTAGAGTCTCTCAGGCTGTTAGTTATGGGAAGAGTTCAACCTGCCTTCCCCTGATGTTCAGTCTGAGGCAGCTTGGCATCCATAACCCAACTCACAAGTTGCCTACTTCCAAGCCAAAGGCAGCTCTCTAAAAACTTGCTTGAGAAGTTCAAACAATAATGAAACTTGGTTGTATAGTGTCTCCTAGCGGTCATTGCTGCTAACCACTGTAATATTACAATAATATACTTGTTTAAAGTGTGCGTGTGTGTGCGTATGTGTGTGCATGTGTATTTAATTAATTAATTTATGGTAACTGTTAATGGACTATTACTGATTAAGGTCAAGTGATGGGGCTTTATTATTTGCTCATGGATAAAGGATGACATATGGGATGAATAGATCCTTGGTTAAATGTTAGAGAAAGTATTTAGTTACTGAAAATGTTTGTACATGTTTTGATAAAAGGGAAGCCATTTCTTTCTAATTTTAATTGTGTGTGTTATGTGTCAGTATGTATGTGTGTGTATACACACACACATCCTTTGCCTTCTCTCCCTTTTTTTTTTCTGAACTTTTTTCTTTTTATATTTTTCTCGGTATTAGTTTTTTATTGCTGCATTTCTAAACTTCACTAAAAATTGTTTTTTTAAAAAAACCCAATCATATTTTCTGTTTATACTTAGGGAGCAACTCTGTATTCCCTGTAGATTTGATAATGGGAGCAAAATCTTTCACTGCTTGTGATTGATTCTCCAATCAGTGCTCCAGCCAAGCAGCCTGGTTAGGAAAACAAGGTAGAAAACAGGCCAAGAATATGCATATCCCTGGTTATTTAATTATCTTGATACTTGTCCCTCATAGGAAAAAAACCCATGGAAACTATCTCTCTCATAAAAATTATATGCCTTAGGGAAAGCAATGGGACAGACCAGAAGGGAAGGGGGAGGGTGATTGTAAGGAAGGAAGGAAGGAAGGAAGGAAGGAAGGAAGGAAGGAAGGAAGGAAGGAAGAAAAGATCTTGGTTTTATGATAGTTTATGTCATACAGGTAAGCCTCAACTTACAATAGTTCATTTAGTGACCATTCAAAGTTACAATAGCACTGAAAAAAAGGGACTTATAACTGTTTTTGACACTTAACAACCACTGCAGCATCGTTGTGGTCACATGATCAAAATTCACTTATTTATTTATTTAGCATATGATACATCATACATGGACTAGCAATACATTTTCACATTTCGCTTAGATTAGTAAAACACAATAAAATATAAATATTAAAAAGGTCTACGTTCAATGTCAAGTGCCATCTAACCATTGAATTGCAGCATCATTTATATTTAAAAAAATCAGATACTGGACGATATACAGAATGCCCTCAGCTTACAGCCGGTCACAATGTGATGTACCAGATTCACTTAACCACCATGATTCAAACTTAAAAAACTGCAGTGATTCACTTAACAATTGTGGCACGAAAGGTCATAAAATGGGGCAAAACTCACTTAATAAATGTTTTGCATAACAACAGAAATGTTGGGCTCGGTTGTGATCATAATTCAAGGACTACCTGTACTTATGTATTTCACTATGTATTACTTAGTGAAATACTTAATACTTAGTGAAATACTAAGTAATACACTATTACTTAGTGAAATACTTAGTGAAATACTTTTCACTAACTTCAAAAAAAAACTTTCAAATGTTATTAATAAATTCTAAATTCGGTCTTCCCCATGCTGTTCCAGCCTTCCTCAATTCCCAGCCAGCATTCTTGAAATGTTTGATGAATCAGCTTCATGAAAGTTAGTCTAACCCATTTTCTATTGTTCTATATGATTAGCTTTCATTAGATATGTATCGTCCTCTTTCTCCTTTTCAGTTGGGCAGGCTACTTTAATCAATGTCACAGGAATATAAATTGCACATAAATGAGATTCCAGAAGGAAAGTTGGAATGGATATTTAGTTCTCTTGTTGCTCACACTGTAAAGCCTCCCAAAATGTTGATTTTTTTTTTAAAAAAAGACCAAAACCTCAAACAAGTTCCAGATCGCCTTTGACACCATTAGACATCAAAGAACATTTGCACTGCTAAGGAAGTGGGTCTTCCTAACAAGCTGGCCTCTCTTGATCTAGACAGACCTGCCTTTTCACTGATGTAGGGTTTACTCTTGTCACTAATTTTATCAATGGACAAAATGGCCTTTCCAAAGAGAGGTACTGTAGGTAAACAGGCATTGGCTTTCTACCTCTTAGAAACTGAAACATAGTGTTCCAGTATCTACAGGTAGTCCTCAACTTACAACCATTCGTTTAGTGACCGTCACTGAAAAACCTATGACAGTTTTTCACACTTCTGACCGTTGTAGCATCCTCATGGTCACAATTCAGATTCTTGTCAACTGACATGTATTCCCAGTATCCCAGGTCGTGCGATCCCCTTTTGCGACCTTCTGATAAGCAAAGTCAATGGGGAAGCCTGATTCACTTAACAACCATGTTACTGAACATACTACACTTTTGTCTGAAGTTGTGTAGGGTTTCTTGCCTAAGCAGGGGGTTGGACTAGAAAACCTCCAAGGTCCCTTCCAACTCTGTTATTTTATTCTATTCTATTCTGTTCTGTTCTGTTCTGTTCTGTTCTATTCTATTCTATTCTACTAACTTAATAACTGCAAGAAAGTTATACTTAAATTCATGAAACGGCATCAAGTCCCACATCCCTGATTTTGTTGTATGATGTGTTTGTGGCACCACCCAAACTCTGCCAGCTGTTCTTTGGAAAGAAGTCACCCCAACAAAAGAACTATTCCATAAGAACAAAGACTATGAAAGAGTCAATGATATATTGACTGTCATTATCTGGCATTAACTGAAAAGCTCTCTTTTAACCCCAGGGAATTTTAAAGACAAAGTGAATTAAGACACCACATTTTTCTTCAGCCCTTCTGTTCAAGAATTTCCATTATTTATGTGAAGTCGCTTTTTATTTTTGGCTTTAAGCCTTTGCCCTGTTATCTCTATTATCTTGTCCACGCTGCTACAGATGCAAGGACAGGTTTTCTTCTTTGTGAAACCCAAATCAACTCTTAACATTTTAGCCAAGTTTCACCTGTATGCGCAATACCCAGGGATGCATTAATTGTCTGGGAATTATTGATGCAGGTGAAAGGTGGGCTTTCATAAGGCAGAAGAAAGTGGAGGTTATCCATGTTTTCTTTAAGTCCTTGAAAGACATCTTTTAGAATGCAAACTCAAAGAAGGAGGTGGATGAACGCACAAGAGAATCAGATATCCTTGACCTGATACTAAGTCTTTGGAGATTGGCAAGGACAAGAAAGTGAAGCAGCGGGAAATGTTCTTTATCATTGTAGGGTAAAATAACAGAATCTTGAAAGCCTTTCTCTCTGCCACATACCCTATAAAGTCAAGGGGGTTATTTGGGTTGCTTTCTCCTGCTTTCCTGTTTTTCAGAACTCAGTAACTTTCTCTCCTCCTTTAATAGTTCATTCTTCTTTTTCCCCTTCCGAGTGTATACTCGTTCACAATAAGAAACACTTAGCCAGTAAAGTAAATTCTAGCAATAATATTGAGGGGAAAAAAAGTTAGCACATAATCTGGAGTTCCTGATTTTAAGAGGAACGAAAACTGAGCAGAGCCCAACGTCTATTGAGAAAAGGAGCTCAAAACGGGTGAAGTATTAAAACACTTTAAAAATATAACAGCAAACAATTTCAAGGAGGGAAAAAATAGAAAGGAGCAGAAGAAACTTAACTAAGATCTGAAAACAAAAAGGATCTCTAATGAGTGGGAAAACGACAGTTCAGAAAGTAAGAGAAGACAGGTAGTCC